CAAGTTATGACTATCTGATCAAGCAATTCAATTCTGTGTTGATCGGTATCATTAAACTAAAATTATAATGGCATAGTGTATTTCAATGCTATTACTTATTAAAAATGTTATTATTAAAATCGTTAATATTATTGAAATTATTATTATAGTCAAGTCAAAGCAATTTTCAATATTGGCTGATTGGCTCTGACTAAGTGCTGATAAGCTAAGGCATGCAAGCCTTTAAGAAGGTGATTGCAAGTGGGGTCTCGGTAGGTAGTGTAAGGTATAGAGCGCACGGTGCTCGGAAAACAAAGTAGAGGTTCGAGCCCTGTCAAAGGCCCGTAACTCTCGAAGTTTGCGAAATTATCATTATTATTATTTTTATCTTTGTTATACTGGCACTATCACTCTCCACGTCAATATATGTAGGTTATCTACCATATCTGGTTAAATTTTTCTTATTATTATCTCTTACCAGCTCTAAACAGTGGGAAGGCGGGCAAAGGCTTAGTATCTTCGGAGAACGTCCGTTGCGCGCGTCCGTCGAAAGTAGGTCACCCTGCNAAAGTAGGTCACCCTGCCCACTTCGCGCGCGGCGCTCCACACTCAGGTCTCGAGATGACATTACAGTATCACCAAGTGTCAGTGGAGCGAATGATTTGCATTTTTCTGTGATATCTTCTCTACGAACTGACTGCCGTGGACGAAGCGCAAAACGTATGCCCCACAGACATCTGCAATGTCTGTCAAATATCGCGTGCTGTCTCGCCGCGTATGTGGGCTGCGGCGCGACCTAGTTTCGACGGACATGCGCAACGAAGCGCACCCTAGTACTCTTTTAATTGAAAATCTAGTTTTCGAAAAAAGCGGGATCAAATGCAGAGCAAGTTTTCAGCAGATGATGCACTTATCCCGTCTTTGTGAGTCCTTGTAGGGTTTCATTTTTCAGGTCATCAACTCACCACAGCCTGTCATAGTCGATTTCCACGCAGACTGGTGCGGTCCATGCAGGACGCTGGGTCCTAGACTTGAGGAAAAGGTCTGTTTTTACTACAGCGGTTTTTAATGACACCTCTGTTTGTGGGCTTAATGGTCTGTTCATCTCGGAATCCAACCCCAGGGCCATGTGTGTGTGTGATTGTACAACACCTTTTTAAATAGGGGCGATTAATAATATATGACGTTTTTGAAGGGTTTTTACTTCTTTTATGATAGCAAGAATACTGTAACCGATATCTTAGCTGAGAACTTCTTTGTGAAGGTTAGTCTCTATCCAGGTGTTCGGACGAAATGGTGCTATATTGATGGCGAAGATCAATGTCGACCAGGCTGGTGAACTTGCGATGGACTATGGTATAACTGCAGTACCCACTGTGATGTCATTCAAGAATGGAGAACGCGTAGGGATGTTCACTGGAGTTATAGATGACGAGCAAATTGACAATTTTATTGATGATGCTATAAACCAGTAGAAAGTAAATGTACATAGTTTCAGTAGTAAATTTATTGTACACGTCACTGACATGCAGTATTATTTGTCTTCTCTTATCTGAACCGGGATACTAGGAATTTCATTCCTTATGGAAACGATTTGTCGATTGCCTTCTATGTTACATGTTGACTTACTAAAATATCTACTGCATGGTTTAAAATATGTTTTAACAAGATGTAAAACTGGTTGTGTACTCCCAATGGAAGATCGAGGTTTGATAGCCTAAGCTCATTGTAGATCCTGGTAGTCGAGATGGATAAAATTGGTAACGTTCTGTGAGGCGGAGTGTGGGTAGTTCCGAATATAGTGGGCCACATACACGATCTAAAAGTCTTAATCGTTTGTCGTGTCGTTAGCCGGTATTTCTAAATTCAATAGACAAATGGTGTTGGAGCCCTGTCTGAGGATTAAAACACTGACTTGTTCATCGTCCGGCCCCGCCCGTAAGTCACTACAGTGACGGTCTTCTCCTGTTTTTAAGGCACAACAATGTTGTACATTCTAGGTCCGAGAGAGATAGCCTCAAAAACTAGTCCTTATTTTCCTTTTTTCGGACCTGGGCCATTCTGGGTGGATTTGTGGGTTCAAGCAGTATGTACCTCACTTCAAGGGCACGCTCCACCCGATGTAGGAAGGGTTTGAATATATGGGCGTGTTCAATACACGTTTAATGTAGACCAAAACCACTGGCATTTCCTCTGTAATGAGATTACCTGTGACGAGGACAAGTTTCGAATGTTTCACCCTAACGCGGGTAGGTACCTACGCTCAGTTCGGTGTGACACCTATCCCAAAACTAGCTGGGAGTGTTCAGGTGGTTATTAAGGTTATGCTCAATTCTATGGTACGCAAAAGTTGAGCACAAAGTCTAGGAAAGGCTACTCATTGGATAGACGCAGGCTCATGCAATTGAGGCTGAAGATGATTCGGGCGGACTGGCCCAGGGCAGTGTCCAGGGCTGATTCACAGTACAATATTTGAAGTGAGCTATGAGTACGCAAAAACGCTAAATTTCTTATCCACATTCTGATCTCGCGCCATGAACCATCTTCACGTTTGTGGTCTCTTTCAAAGCGTAAGTATTCGATGAATGAGAAACAGTGTTAAACACATTATAACGAGAACCTAAGTTGATGGACTAGAGAAGCTCCAGTCGGTTGGGAATGTGAGTCTCGAGCAAGCCGGCTTTTCGATCAGACGCAATTTGTAAGCAAAGTCGAAAGGGCAATAGACATGAGAGATGAAGAATGAACTCTTTGACGTTGATCAATTCCGTTTGAAATGCGCCGCGTACTTGACTTTCATTCAGAATCGTAGAGCGTAGTGTTTTGAATGTGCATGTTTCCTAAACGATGTTGCGGTTACCAGATGGTGTGCATGTCTGTGGTCCGAGACTCGTCTGGGAGCTTTTATGATCTCGGGCGAGTATGGACCGACTGACTAAGCCCGAACGGATGTAAGGCTNAAACATGAGAGATGAAGGGTGAACTCTCTGTCGTTGATCAATTCCGTTTGAAATGCGCCGCGTACTTGACTTTCATTCAGAATCGTAGTGCCGTTGAGAATGTGTATGTTCCTCAACGATGCTGCGGTTACCAGACGGTGTGCATGTCGGTGGTACGTGACTCGTCTGGTAGCTTTTATGATCTCGGGCGAGTCTGGACCGACTGACTGAGCCCGAACGGATGTAAGGCTCGATTCGCTTGGGCGAGTATCGATCCGGAATTCTGTCCGGGACATAGGTGCCTGATAGTGTTCGCCACTACTTCATCTACGGTCTGAATTAGAGGTGAAGGGGTAATGAAGATCTCTTGAGGCTATACATTGAATACTCACGTTTCTACTCAATACGCAGTTGTTATTATAACCTATAGGAACAATGATTGGATTTTCATCTACATTTACGGATTTATTGGAGATCTTGAAAAAATAAACTTCTACAAAGCAGGGAAAGCGATGTTTTCACTCTCAGATGTCTCCCTCTGATATAGGTGTTGCCTTTGCCGCACTCTGGTGACAGCCCATCAAATTGCGCATCAGTTTTTTTAGTGAACTCGATCCCTGTCCGAGTACACGAGGCCGGAACCAGAAAACTGCGTAAATTTCATGAGGCCCTTGACAAGCCCTAAAATGTGCGCGTAGTTTGACTCACCTGGGATTACACATGTGGTTGTATATAAGCCCTCGCAAGGTTCAGTTCACATCGACATGACTGGATTGACCAACAGTCTCGTGGGAACTGCAGCCCTAGCTTCAGCAGTGCTGATAGCTGTCGCTGTACTCTCCGTTGGCTACGTGGTCAACGACCTCAGCAACTTCTATGACGACTCTGTACAAAGGATTGAAGAATTCAAGGTACGGTAAGCCTTTTTTGTTTCCCAAGATCTTCTCAAAATTGTGTTCAGGGTGTTGCTGACGATGCGTGGGCCAAAATGATCCAAACAGAGGGAGGAGCAAGATTCGCCCGTCAAACCTATGGTGATAGTGGAGCGACCAATACCCCTGGAGAACAGCCGAGCTCTTGTCCTGTCGGCCCTCCAGG